ATAACATAACATAAAAAATTTCAGGAAATTCCACTTATTCTGTCTTCTTATTTTTTCCTTTTATTCATTCATTTACTTCTATATTCATTCATTTCTACTTCCATTATTATACTTCATTATTCACTCTGCTTTGTCTTTTTTATTTCCCTTATCATTCAGTTACTGCAGTCCAGTTTTCTCTCCACACCTTCAGAGTGGCTTGTGGAACCATCTGCTGTTTTCTGCACGTCTCTCTTCCTCTGTCTCTCTGATCTTCCATTTGTCTGTCTCTTTTGCTTCTACTAACATCTGATATTGAATATTCCCACTTATTCTGTCTTCTTATTTTTTCCTTTTATTCATTCATTTACTTCTATATTCATTCTTTTCTACTTCCATTATTATACTTCATTATTCACTCTGCTTTGTCTCTTTTATTTCCCTTATCATTCAGTTACTGCAGTCCAGTTTTCTCTCCACACCTTCAGAGTGGCTTGTGGAACCATCTGCTGTTTTCTGCACGTCTCTCTTCCTCTGTCTCTCTGATCTTCCATTTGTCTGTCTCTTTTGCTTCTACTAACATCTGATATTGCATTATTATTTGTTTCTTCTCCTAGTCTGCTTTTCCTTCTTGTGAGTCTGCATTTCCCTATTTATTTTATGTATTTCTTTCTTAAGTTTTCATTCATCTTTCACTTGAGAATCAAATATGTATGTGTGAGTAAATCCTTTACCCTATAAAGGTTAATGTCTGTTATGTATGATTTGTTTTCTCTTCTTGCAGCTTTTAGAAAAGCTGTGCATTCCTTGATCATAATCTTTCTTGATACAAAAAGAAAAAGAAAAAGAAAAAAATAGGCCTACATTATGTTTCAGTATTCAATGCTTGATAAAGAAAAATCAGTGATATCAAGATGATTTTTTCCCCTAGATTTGCTTTGTTTTGAGCTAATGTTACATTTCTGTACTTTAATGCCTAATTTATATATATATTTCACTTCATTTTTCTCTCTCTTTTTTGTTTTGTTTTTTTTCTTTTTCTTTTTCCAGTAATGATAAAACAAAAGATTTCTGTTTGTCATAGACTCATGGCTTGTCATTTGTAATCTGCTTGTTCTTTAATGAAGGTTGTATATTGACTTGATAATGTATTCTGTTGTATTTGCTACAGCACAAGTGTAGTAATTTTATGTACAATAGTTGTTTTCCTAAATATGCTATGTCTGTGAGCCCAAATACCCATTTTGCCAAATAGAAACCTTTTCATTTTTTCTATAATCTGTCCAAATCATTCAGATTTTAGCCTTCTGATGTGATTTTGCTAGTTGTTAAGGATCCGTCTGAACATGTAATTTAAACCTTCCTGCGGGAGGCATGGGGACATCCGTGGTATTAACAAGTGTGCGTATCCCCTCCCAATCCCTCTCAGGCACTTGGGTTCGTTTGGATTCAGAGAGCACACGCAAGTATTGCTTCACTGATGGGGAGGCTTGGTCTCTGGCAATGTCCCGAGGTCACACCCTCTACCTCCAACGTTCCCATAGTCACAACCACCCCTACACGTCTCCCCAGCATGGTACGTAGCCGCCTGCTGTATTTTTTAATATTGTGTATGATGTTTTAAGCCAGTGTACCACATGGGTATTATTACTTGCTTTTGTTTGTCAGGATGCTAGTTAAATTTTCTCTCTTGCTCTCTCACTTTCTTTTCCCCTCCAAAGGGAGAGGATAGGAAGTCTTGTGTCTTTCATACTGTAGATTAATTTCTTCATTTATTTACCATTTTTAAGATTTATAACTTGAAAATCACACAGCATTTTTGTTCAGAAAATATGCAGTCCTCCATTGCTTCTTTTTGTATGATTTTCAAAATGAAAAAATCTTTCATCCTATAAAATTATTTTATGGGATTAAGGGAGTGTGACAAGCCAAGATCAACCTTAATTTCCATAATAGGCTTTTCTCCTATCCATTTGGTTCTTGTCTTCCTGTGCTGTCAGCTTTGGCAGTAATCTGGTGTCTGTTGGAACTAATCTCATCCCACATTGATTTAACCTCCTCACAAAACCAAAACTCGGGTATGAAATGTGCTTTGCTTAGTCTGCTGGTACTCTCCTTTTCTAACATTTATTCTCGAGTAACTTCTTCCAGATCTTTGGGTACTTCAACCATTGTGTGTATACTCAAAGCATAAGACATGCCCATTGAGATTCTTAACCACATCTTACTCTGTGCCGCATGCCCACTTTCAATTCGTACATCACTCTCCTTGCTTCCATAAGACTTTCAAGTGGTGTGCAAGAGATGTGCATCAGTGATGTAGAGAAAAAAAATTGTCCTTAATCAAAGCCTTGTTGGTGTTAGCAAGGAAACTCTTGACCTAGACCATGGCCTAAACCAGTGTTTCATAGGATTTTGAATAAGAAAATAGGTCGTGGAGTAAATTTTACATGCTCATTTCATCTTCATGCTATGTGCACTTTTGCATGCGCAGTGATTGGTGTACTTTGTAAGTATTGAGGTTCATCTTTTAAAACTGAAATTTATCAGGTACACCAAGTTACAATATGTGGAATAACATTCAATCTTTCTTTCTAAAGGCAACAGTTTTAAGTGAGAATTAACAGTGTAAACAAACAGAATGCTACAGTGATAGTTATAGGAAATCTTCAAATGGGAAAAATGATTAGCATTTAACAAAAATAAAAGGCTAAAATTACAAATTTCAAAGATAGTGATAAAAATGGAAGAGGAGTACAGGTTAAGAGAAATTAGATTCAAAAGAAGGTGCATTTTTTGTAAGTGGACGTGGGAGTGCAAACAGAGATGTAAAGGAGAGCAGTGAAGAAAGCAACCATTATGTCAAGAATGTTAATTGTTACACAGAAAAAATACACTGCAGGCAAAGAAACACACACATACACACACACACACACACACACACACACACACACACACACACACACACACACACACACACACACACACATATGCACACACATATGCACACACATATGTATACACATATGTACACACATTTGCACACACACACATACACACACATGCACACACATGCACACATACACACACATGCACACACATATGTACACACATATGCACACACACACATACACACACATGCACACATACACACACATACACACACATGCACACATACACACACATGCACACATACACACACATGCACACATACACACACATGCACACATACACACACACACACACACACATACACATGCACACATACACACACATGCACACATACACACACATGCACACATACACACACATGCACACATACACACATACACACACATGCACACATACACACACACCCACACATACACACACACCCACACATACACACACACCCACACATACACACACATGCACACACATGCACACACATGCACACACATGCACACACATGCGCACACACACACACACACACACACACACACACACACACACACACACACACACACACACACACACACACACAAGCAGCCAGAGAGGAGTGGAGTTTAATAGGAAACAAAAATTTGGCTTACTTACATATGAGTTATTTAACTTGATTTTTTTATATTTTTTGTAGCATCATGTACATACCAAAGATCCAGGTGTATATACATTTAATTTGAAGTTCATTCATCTTGAAATAGAGTAATGCAGTATGAAATTTACCCAATGCCTCCAGGAGAATGTTGGACACACTTGGTTTCCACTCTAGGGAGTATGCGCAGCCAACTGGGCTTGTCATGGGGGCCAGTTTCAGACTCGAACACGCACCACACTACACCAACAAAGTGACATGATTTCTTTTTGTATATGATAATGTGAATAGTTGACACAAGGCAACAGATCACATAATCCTAAGTGAAGGTTACCTACAAGTTCATAACAGCAGCAAGAGAGCACATTCTTTTGGTGGTGCAAGACTTCTTCCAGGGTTAGCAGGCAAATATTTTAATAAGTTTATTTCTAACAATTTTAAATTTATTTTATACAAAACAGTAACCAATCAGAACATTACACGTCCATTCTCCCTTAGGCAATGCCTAAGGCATGAGGGTATCATAAAATGTGAAGCATGTTTTATAGTAACATGACATGAATGACTTGTCCTTTGTAGCCAGGAGCAAGTCAGCCATGATGGGAATAGCACATCACCTGGAGCCACGACCAAGTCAGCCATGATGGGAACCATGATGTGTCAACCGGAGGCATTGGGTTTAACTTCTCACTTTACGGGGTAGTCTGAATTGATAAACAGCCATAAAGAAAAAAAAATTATATGATAACCAGTGAAAGGAAAGTACAGATTTTACAGTTAGGTTATATGCCACTTTAGGAAGATACAGTCAATTTGGTTAGAACTAAAGCAAATGTTTGAGCAAGTCTGATGTTAGACATGGTTTAATATTTAAATTTTGGTTTATTTTTGGTTGTCTGTAAAGTGCAACATGCAGAATTTTGACATCAGAGTTGAAGGAATAGATACTGGATTACGATTATTATCTGGTGCTGACTGGCCAAGGAAGTAATCAAGTCACAAGAACCAAATTTAAGTTTGTTTGTTTGTTTGTTTTTTTTGTAGAGTTTTAACATAGATCTTCAGAGATAAATGAAAATTAAGTTGTCATTTATTATTGTTATTTATTTATCTAGTTTGTTAGTTTATTTGTTTTTTCTATGAAAGGAATTGCTTCAACATGAAATTGTAAATTCATAAAAAAAGAATCTTTATCTCTTCTTTTCTTTCTTTCTTTCTTTTTTAATTACTATTTGCAAACAGAAATTAGTTTTTGTAAATATAAGTTTTAACCCATTGAAGGCAGGAGGTCATGTACGAACTTGCCCATTCCACTGCAATTTTAGTTTATTGATTTTGTTTACACATAGATGGCTCCATTTGTGCTCAGTCAGGAGTCACTTACTAGACCTACCCGATTTCATCTGTGTATCCTGTGTCTCAACTTTTGGAAGGATTTTTTTTTAAT